CTCAGAATAACAAAACTTTTTTGGATGAAGTTTGAAAAAAGTAGAAGCAGAGAAAGGTTGATTATTGTCATCACCCATGCGTAGGTTCGATCAAACATTTGACTTTGCTTTTGATAAGTTAGTGTTGCATAAACTCAGTGCTTTAAGTTAAAGAGCTTTAGGCTAGATTAGAGGTACCCTTTTAGTAAGAATAAAGTATGTTACGAATGAATGTCCCATTTTAGGTAGATTTTAGGAGTTCTCCCAGGCTCAGTTTTAGGCCCTGAAGAATGTCTACCGTAAATCTCTATGGAGATGATACGATTCTTTACCTTCATCTAAAGAAATCAGTCACACATTTCAGATAATATCTGGACTTCTTAGTATTAAGAGAATCACCTCATAAATCCTTGTGTCTTAGCTTGATGCTACCCATTTTTTCAAGGGCTTATTGAGGAACCGGTTTTATGTTGGGACATTCTTCAAGAAGCTAAACCAGAATCTATCACTGCTCTGATCTTTCTGTCATTATGTGAGCATTTTGCTTATCAATGGGTGCTTTTAATTCCCTTGCTTGGCCTTGATTAACATTAATGACAACTGCACCGATATATTCTTATGTACAAAGCAGTACGTTGAAAACTACAGTTTTTGTTTGAGTACGTTCTTAACAGTCAAACCTCTTTCAACACTTTTGCAGTTGGTGGAAGTTTTAGGACATTCTCTGAATTTGGTAGAAGTGTGTTTAGTTTTCTTTGCTCTTTGTTCGATGGTATTTTCTCAATAGACCACCATGTTTTGATGCTCTGCTCTTTCTGGGGGAGTTAAAACGCTGTTTTTAAGTTTTAAGCAAACTGCTGCTTCTTGAGACTGAATTTGTACCGACTACAACTGCTGAAAAGTCAGAGGCCTTTAGAGTCTTTAAACAAGAGGGTGGACGGCCATGGAGTCTGGTGAGGACTGTTCATGGGTCACTCAAAAGCAGGCTGTGATCAGGGGTGTGGTTTCCCCTCAAGTTTATTGTTTGCAATTTCCTGTTCTAAATGTTAATAATAGAAAACAGAAGATGGTAGCGAGCTGAAGTCGTATTTCACTGAAGTCCCAACAGCAGGAAATCCAAGAGCAGAAGCTGAAAGATCCCTGCACCTTAAAATGAGAGGATTTTTAACCAAAGGACATTTATTGTTTAGATCTCT